TGGATTTTTTTTTTTGGATCGACCCAAATCAATTTTCCTCCGGGAGCCGGGGATCCCCTTTTCATTTCTACTTCTGAACCTACACTTTGAATATTTAGTGGTATGAAAATCAAATTAATTTTATTTATATTAAATTTCTTTATAAATCTTATATGTTTCTTTTCAGAACCTGGATTTTTTTTTTTTTTTAATTTTATACATTTTATGGTATAAAAATCCAATTTATTTAATTGATATATAATGTCTTTAAACTTTTGTATCCTATGATTGATATTGACTTATTATTTTATTTCTTAGTAAATCGCCTTCATCATTATAGAATATAATTCTATTCAAATTAATCAATCTAATTTTATTTCAATTTTCAATTCATTTATTTTTTTTTTTTTTCATCTACCTTAATCAAAATTCCTCCAGGAGCTGGCGATCCTCTTTTAATTTTTACCTTTTCATTTTAAATGGTATTAATATGATAATTTTGTAATTTACTTAAATTATTATAAAAATCTTATAAAATATTGAAAGTAATGCTTTATTTCTTACTATTTATAAATCAAGTTTAAAAATTCTAAATTATTATCTTTGTATTATTAATCTCATTGTATAATCAAATATTATTTTAATTCAATATAATAGCTACTGTTGGATCACTCTGGTTAAACCCCTTCTTGCTAAATGCTATATCACCGCATCAAGGACATTCTGCACTGGAGCATTTCTGAAAAAGATTATTGGTCAAGAATTGCTGTACATGTTTGAAAAAAGGATATACAATTATTTAATGGTATATTTTACCTTGTATGGTATTACATATATATATTTATTTTCTTATTTTAAATGGAAGATAAAGTTGAATATTTACATATATTTTCTCAAGTTGTCATTATGCTTAAGATTTGACATTTTAGTCGTTGAAGAAGTAAAAAAATTTGTAAAATCAGGTGTTGAAGGAATAGGACGCAAGTTCTGGCACACATGGGACGTTTCGGCCTTGTTCCTCTTCTTCTGGCCAAAAGGTACACTTAGTCACTGACCTATAGATGGGCTGCTATAAAACATTGTTGGACAACAAGATTGTTTGACGTGGAAACATGATGTTTGAGACATCACAGCAACATGATCATACTATCGGCGTCCACCAAAAGACAACAATTTACGGAATAGACCACGTGATTATGAAAGTTGCAATACTACCACGGATTAATATATTAAGTATGTTAATCCGTGAGTACTACCGATAAAGTATTGATGCTTTTCTTTCGATACAAGTACTTTTTGTATTCGATACCATGGTTATGATACTTATATCGATAAGAAAATACTGGTATCGAATGAACAGTATTGAATCAATTACTAATCGCCATATTGGTTCAAAAATGAAAATACTTGAACGGTATCGTACAATAATTATTTTCTAATAAAATGGTTCTTGCGCATGGTGGTGGATTTGTTTACATAAATCAGTCATCACGCTATAGTCTATACTCTATACGATTATATTGTTATTTCCACGGACCAGAAACCACAGTCCACAATAGAATAGCGTCAATAGGTTTCAATAGAAACGATTATCGGTCGTTTTTATATTTTTACTCTTATTATTATTTTAACTCGATTCGATACGACGATACGAAGAAGTAAAATGATCAATACTTTTTTCTCGATACTTACTCATATCGATCCTTTCGTTTGGATATTTTCATTCGATTTGATACCAAGTATAAGTATCGACACTTTTCTTTCGATACTACGTCCCTAAGTATATATTATAATATGCATTTTTTGTTAAAAATATACATTTTATAAATACGGTATGGGCTTGAGAGGGAGCCACAACTCTTAGGGCCCCCCCCCCTGAAGTCGTCCCTGGCAGATATTATGTTGTAAAAACATAATGGGCGAGTAAAATTATTAAGGACTTATATAGCTCTAATAAATACAAAAATAGACGATATGCATAAATACACCAAAAAAGACCAACTACCTAGTAAATATGTGATAAAAAAAGTGTTACTTTAAATTACTTTATATTATCTGATAAATACCTGGGTTATGGTTGTAAATGTCTATAACCGTAGCAATATTCGTGGAAGATAATACCACTATTCGTTTCACAACAGAGACATATTAAGATATCTTTATATGTCTATGTTCCACAACCAGAAATATAATAAGAAGATAAACAAAAATTGATATCCGTGATCAAATTGAGATATTGAATTTAATATCATATTATAATGATAGGCTAGTAATTTATATTCTTATTTATTTATACATTACATTTTTTAAATAAATCAATGTATTATATTCAAAAAAATACAAGCCATACGGGGGGGGGGCGAATGCCCCCTTCGACCCCCTCAAATACGCCCTTGGTTTACACTGTTAAGTAAAATCGTAGGATCAAAACCTTATTTGTTTTGTTAGGAATGTCATGAATGTTGCTGTATGTGGACAGTGTTCGTTATCTAATGCTTGATTTGATGTTTAATGAAGTTAAACTTTATGACTTAATTTACAGAATGAATGTTAACACGATCTACTTATTAAAGGTCTGCACGGGCCGATACTTTACAGCCCGGTCCAGCCCGGTAACATATTTGGAAAGCCCGGCCCGGAAAAATTTATAGAAAGCCCAGTACGGCCCACCAATATTTTTGGCGAGTAAGCCAGGCCCGATCCGACCCGGTAACATTTTTAGAAAGCCAGGCCCGATCCGGCCCGGTAACATTTTTAGAAAGCCCGGCCAGACCCGGCCCGGTTAGAAATGAAAAAAATATTCGGTCTTTTGAATAAAAAATTAAGTAGTAAGTACTAAGTACCTAATATATTATAACTAACTTTTAAAATATTATTAATTTAAAACATCACTTTTAGTACGATTTCAAAATTAAATTTTTTGTCTTTTACAACATATTTAATAATAAAAAAAAACATCTTATAGAATTAATATAAAATTTAAACAAATATCACATAATGTACTTTTCAGTCTTTTTGAATAACAAATTGTAACATAACTAATTAAAAATTTTGTCTTTAAAATAATAAAAAAAATTAATAAGTTGTAAGTAGTAGGTACTATGTAGTAGGTATCGGATTTTATTTAAAAAAAAGTCCGGGTAAGTCCTAACCCGGCCCGTGCAGGTCTTTACTACTTATATCAAAAACATTAAATGCAGCTATACGTTATACGTGTATCAAAATGTTTTTCATTATCTGAAATACATTGTTGTTATTCATGTTACGGCTGGTTTGATTGGTATTACTATTTTAATGTCACTTATATTATAATATGGTCAAAATGGTCACATTGATACTGATTATCAATGAATTGATAAGTGATAAAATGTAAACTAAGCACGTGTTATTACCAAGTAGTGGTATTTGTCAGTTTTCGTGCGTTCCAGAAATCTTATAGTTATTTGAATTTATTTATAAAACTAATTGTAATGCCCATCATTATGTCTTCAGATGCTGATTCTGAGGAAGAAGTAAGTTATAACACTTTGAATACTAGTTATCATTTTTTTTTCAAACATGAACTATGTAATTATAGCACTTTTTATTTATATTGCATGCATTTTGTATTAAATGTTTATTCATTCATTTAAATGACAATTTACAAATTATTCAAATCGTCATGAAAATCATTTGTTCTGTTTCAATTGTTCTATAAATTACGTATACTATCCACCTTGTTTGTATGTACACATAATTATTTTAACATTAATTATCCTTTTTTCAATGAGTTAATTACCTACTTGTTACACATGTGTAATGTTTTTTTGATAAATATTCCTGATATTCAATGTGTTATTTAAATTCATATTGAATTATTTTTGCAGTTATTGGAATTGTATGCATCTGGTAAATTGAAACCTGGTTTAAATATACCCGTGGAAAATGATAAAGTGTTCATCAATAATGTAGTAAGTACTATATTTTTAATTCAAACAAAAGACTGTAGCTACCTTAGCCTATAGCTAGATTAAATACCAACTTGGACTACTCACCTAAAAAAACAAAGATCACTCAACATAAAACTATAAATTCAGACAGCACTTCCATTTTAATCTCTCTCTTTACATCAAAATCCTCATGTATAAAAAAATCATCAGACCCATCATAACTTATGATACTCAACTCTGGGGAACAAGAAAAAAAATTAAACTTAAATAAACTCCAAGCTTTTTAATCCATAATCATCCAATCCCTAACAAATTTTCCCTGGTATAACAGTTACCTTATACGCAATAATAATAAAAAAAAAAAATTCTGAATAATTTAAAAATAATAATATATTATCAAATTTTGTCTGTGTTTTAAAATGCATTTATGTGTATGAAATTATTTATTATTAATTTTACTTTTAGGATGGATTGAAAGAAACTCTCAATTCTTTTCAAAGTAGTTTACCATGGTCTGAACGACTTGATATTGTAGCTGAAACAGCACCAATGGCTCCTGAACTTTCAATGGAGGTATGTATTTTTGTTATTATCTTTATGTATACATTACAAGAATAACTTATTTATATACAAATCATAATAAAATCAGTCAATCCTGTACTGTTATTATTTTTTACCGTTTATGTAATATGCAATATTCATAGCTTATTATGATATTTATTTTAATATCTGTTTAAAAAATTAGCTCATCATAAAATTATTATATTTCAATTTGTTGCTTTCATCTGAACTTTGTAATAAAAATCAAAGATGATAAATAACATTTATTTCAATGGTTATAATTAATTAAATGTTTGGAATTTATGATGACTTTTTATTATAGATAACTGAACAACAACAGTTTCTTAAGGCTGGTAAAATTGATGAAGTAGCATTAAATGATTTTAAACGGGAAACAATGTTTCATCGTCAAGCCCAATCTGCTGTTATGCGTGGTATAGAATTGTTAATTAAGCATAATATACCAACACATCGACCGGAAGATTATTTTGCTGAAATGTTTAAATCTGATGAACATATGCAAAAGGTACGTCATTCACTTCTACAGAGAAAGACAGCTTTAGAACAAACAGAAAAAATAAGACGTATTCGACAAGAAAAGAAATTAGCTAAAGAGAAACGTGTAGCAGCTGTACAAGAAAAGCATAAACAGAAACGTGAACTGAATGAAAATATTAAAAAGTTCAGAAAGGGTTTGAGAAATGATTTAGATTTTTTGGAAACTGATGGAGGAAAAAAAAATAAGAAACAAGATGGTGGCAATAGTGAAAAGAAAAAGAATCTTACAAGGTATTTTAATTGTTATTGAATAATTATTATTAGAGAATTATTTTTGATTTAGATAATATATTTCACATTAAGTGTCTTATATTTTCTACATCGTATTTCACAATTTGAAGAATCTTTATACAAAATAAACTCAATTTATTTTCATTTGGAAACTAAATATTAAGTAAAATATCAAAGTCACTATTTAAAAATAACATTTTTTCTTTTAATACTCTATGTATAGCTTCTTTTTTAACTATCAAGAAATAACGGACTGTATATTTAAGTACATTAAGACATTATTTTTTAAATGTTAGATTATTTAAATTTTCAATCTCAATAGTTTTTAAATTATTCAAGTTTAGTTCTAATTTAAATTTATAACTTAACAAGGTTATTTTATATGCAGCAATTTTATTTGTGTCTTGAATTTGTACTATTTATTCATAAATATTATGATATAAAAATAATGATTTCTGTGCGTTCTATTTTTTTAGGTCACAGCATAAAAGAAAAGGAAAAGATGCAAAATATGGATTTGGTGGTAAAAAAAGAGGAATGAAAGAAAACACAAAGGAAAGTACATTTGGTGGCAGTGGAAAGGCATCCAAAGGAAAGAATAAAGGAAGAATTGCTAAAAAAAAGAGAATGTCCGCTAAACATTAAATAATTTATTATTGAATTTAAATGTTAATTTTTATTTTACAAAATATTTTTTTTTACTTATAAATCCTATAGAAAATTATGACATTTTAAAATATAACTACATAATTGTTATTTTTTACCAATATTTCTGGTTTTATATTTTTTTAATTATTTAGAAAACTATAATTATTTCAAAGAAATATTGATGTAGAAATATATACTCTATAACAGAAATGGCCAACTCAAAGTAACTAGTGGGCCAATTTTAAGAATTTTAAAATTTGGTGGGCCATAATAAAGAAGAAAAAAAAGATTATTATTAGTTGCTCATACCGCTTTATAAAATTGAGTAGAATAAAGAAAGAAATATTAAACTATACATTTATAATTAAATATTTTTAATATTTAAGTGATAAAAAAATAATTGTTTGTGTTACACCTACCAAAATTATATGGTCAATAACAACAGAAATTTGATATTAAAACTGCATTAGAACAGATACAACATTGTATGAGTAATTTTCGAATAAAACAAATTTAATCTGCAAAACTTAACCGATCAGAAGAATATTATGAACTGAATTATGTATAAATCTTATTGTATACATTTTGAGCATCTATTCAAATGATGAATAATATTGTATATAATGGTTTCAAAACAAAACATTTCAAATGAAGTTCAATGCCCTAATAATTATTTAATAGTACAATAATCCATTTAATCTTTGGTGTTTTCAGTTCGTTTGAATAGTTTGTTCGTTTGTTAATGAATGTAATGCTTGGGATAAAAAATTAATTTAAAAACTAAATTGATTGAGATTATTTTTTTAAAATGTATTGTTTCCCAGCATTTTTATTTTGCTTCGTTACAAAGATAAAAATATTGTTTCAATACTGGTTTGCAGGTCATAGATGAAAATCGTAATAAAAAAATTATAAAAAAATGAAATTAAAATTAACAATTATTAAATGTTTAATACTCATAAATTAATATATAAATAAACAAACAAATAATTTTTATTTATTTATTTCTGCGTACAAACTATTTGTTTATTTATTGATATATTAAAAAAATAATATTCAACACTTTTTATTCTTAGAAAGTGTATTGAAATTTTTAATAAACCTTATGGTAGAAGTTAAATAATTTTAATGTTCTAATAAGCTCTAACTAGATAACAATAATTTCAGTTTTACCGTGAATTTCATCGTGATCTATGTGTCGAAAAGATCTTCCTCTCAAAGTAAAAATCGCCATTTTGGATAAAATGTAGTCTTTTTCTCCAGACACTTGCAATGTAAAATTTTTGAAAAATTATCCGTCCCGAGATTATATTCATTATTATTTTGTATATTTATTTATCTATTAATTTGATGTAACATTTTTTTCCAATTTTATGGATTACGTGTGCACAATAAAAACTTTTCTATATTAAAAATGTTGGTGTTTTTTGAACTAGGTTCAATTTATATGTCCAACCACTTAATGAATTAATTAATCCAATACTTGAACAATTTTTTTTTTTTTAACATATTTACAATATGTACACACAAAATAATATTAATGAGTAAATAGGTTAACATTGGAATATAAGGTAACGTAAATGAAGGGAGCGTCCGTTAACACTACTTCCAAAATTTGAACATTTAAATATTTAATACAAATCAGTATTGGTTTGTTAACTTAATTTTTGACTCTACATCCGTGTTATATTCAAACGGTACAATATGACAGATACTCATAACTGGCATGTTATTGACTATCCAATACGCTGTTAAATGTTCACTAATATTATTATTTTACTAATTCCAATATGAATGCACATATAATTGATTTTCTTTTCATATAGTTTAAAATTGAAACTCTTATAGTCTTCTTGGATCCGAACGTCTGGTCATTCTTATTCAGACATATCGGTCCACTGTTATTTAGAGACGTCGGACCATTATGTAATACTCAGGATGATCGGTTAACTATTATTTTCTAAATTAAATAGGTACATTTGATAATTTATGATAAATATAATTTTGTCAAATTATTTGTAATAGTAATAATGTTTATTTCAATTTATATACTTTGGTACAATGTTCTGTCACAACTTGTAAGCAAGCTGGTTTTATTTAAACATGAATATTAATTAGTTATATTAATTTGATTTCCTGTTAATGCAAACTGAATAATTTGATACCGATAAAAAGACGGAAAAAAACTAAATATTTGATATGACAATTTTTATGATTCATGTAACTATAATTTAGAGCTATGTATAAATAACAACATTAATTATTGTTAAAAATACTAAATGTAATTAGCAGTTGCATAAACTAGGTGGTGCAAATGTGGCACTAGCACCACCACATCTAAAATGTGATCGTGTGAGGTACGCTTTTGCACCATCAGAAAATCATTAAAATTTGTATGCCTATAATATAATTTTTAAGAGCCAAAAAAACCAGCATACTAAAAAAAAATGTTAATTGTTTTTTTTTTTTATTAATATTATGACAAAAAAGGTTGTACCGTTAAAATAATTCAAAATGTATTTATTATTTAAAGAAATATATGGGAAAGTATATAGTTTATTAGGAAGGATTTTACTTAGGAAGTTGGAAAATTGGAGTGTTGGAAATTATAATTTGAGAATATGCCTCTGCACCATCAGAAATTGGACCCAATTTACGCCATTAGTTATATTCAGGGCTTGAATTTGTAGGCAATAAAAAATTTGTAAAATATGCATTTTATTTACCAAAATATGCATTTAAATTTTTATAAGATAAACACAAAAATATAGTTACAAAAAAAAAAATTATTTATTGACATACATCAGTGGTTGGCTGTTTGTCTTAATATAATTGAGAAATAAAATAAAATGACTTAAAATAAAATTTATGTTTGATAAAAAAAATCAAGTTTTTACTTTAATCAGCTGAACTAGAATTCATTACAAAATATACTATAAGATATTAATTTTTCACATTCTTATAATTGAAATATGCAATAATATTAATTTTATTCAATGTATGAAATAATATGCATTTTATTTAAAATATGTAAAAACATGCAAAATAAAAACACCACCATTTATCTCATCATGAGGTGATTCGTGGACATTATTGACAAAATCAATAACCTGAAGTTGCAAAAAAAAACATGTTGTTGTATACAAACCCTAGCCTTGGTTATACAGTCGACTCTCGATAATTCGAAGTTGACGGGACTGTTGAAAAATTTCAAATTTCCGAGAGTTCGAATTATTGAGTAGTTCGAAAAAACAAGAGAGCAAAAAAAAATTCGAATTACTGAGTTAAGAGAAAAATGTTGTTTTTTATTGTACATAATTATTAATTATTTCAGTAAATTAGATGGTATTAGTTATTTATTGTTTTTAAAATGTAAATTTTTAAATTTTAACTATATAATAATTATACTATGTAAATTAAATTATTATTATAAAAAATGATTATTTTTTGAAGAAATCTGTAATGATTTTCTGCTTCATTGAATTTAGTTTCATTTTTTCAATAGTATTTTTTGAATTTGACACACTCATTACAAGAACTTTACAACTGATCAAACGAAACTAAAATAAAACTACATTCAGCTGACGGCTATTAAAGAGATAAATTACAATTAGTGACGATTAAGCAATAAAACGATAAAGTTCTCACAATATTAATTCTATAGTTATCGAAAATAATATGCTAAATTTCTACACGATTATTTAGTAAATTATTAACAAAAAGATTATAAGAATACAGATAAAATAAATTTGCTGAATATACTTTTAATTGCCGAGCGTTGAACAGATGATACTTCGAATTGTCACGTGTTAGTTGCAAGTTTTCTCAAAATTTAATTTCAAATTACCGAGTGTACTTAAATGCATTGTTTTTATTCGAATTACCACGGGACTTTCAAAGGACCAGGCATTTACTTTGAATTACCGAAGGTTTAGAATTATTGAAGGTTTGAATTATTTAGAGTCGACTGTATTATTATAGTTGGTTTAACTACACAATATTTTACTATTTTTCAACAAAATAATCGTTTAATTTAACAATATTATAACTTATTATTAACTATATTTTTTGGTTAAATTGACCCAAATATATATTTTATAAGAACTAATTTAATAGTTATTTGTACTATGATTTAAAAAGTTGATTTAAAAGTTTAAAAAATTTGTATTTTAAAATTCATTTAACTAGTGTGTGGTTGTAATTCTGACATACACTTATAGTTAAATTAACTACCAATAATAATTTACACTTGATAGATTAATTAAAAATATTTGTGATTATAAAATAATAGTTAATTATGCTTGCTATGTTTTAAATATGACAGCTCAGTAATATATTATAGTAAATCATAGAATTAAACAATAATACGAGTAAAACGTTAAGTCAAAACAAATTTAATCAAATTCTAGAAATGGTATGGAAAGATAAACATATACAATTTAAAATAGAAAACAAATAATAATATGTGTTAAATAATAATAATATAATCATGTTTCACATGTAAAAAGTATTTATTAAAAAATAAATATTTCACAAATAGTAGTCTACAAATATTTATATTATAATAATAATTTTTACAATTTGAATTTACTCAATACCGTCCCCTTTTAACCTGAACAAATAATAAAATATAATAAAAATAACAAATAATTTTAAATACGTAGTTTAGTTAAAATAATAGTTACCTGCATAATAAAAGCAAACTATATAATAAAGTGTATAAGCTGAATGTTTACTTAGTTATTAAAAATTTTTATTATTAACATAATATCTATAATACGTAGGTACATTTTTTTAATCAAAAGCATATTGTAAAAATTATCATAGTCTCAGTATTGGTTATCAAGGCCATCTAATAATATTGTTCTTTAATGCAATTTTAAAGCTTATTAAAATACATAAAATAATATATATAAATTTCACTTTTTTAATTATTTTTAAATAGTTTCATAAAAATTTCTTAAAATAAAATCGTCAAATTGTTTTAAGCCTGTACATGATGTATTGATGTAA